ATGAATGTTGGAGGTGATGGTGAATGGTGCGATGATGATGATGGTGATGAATGTTGGAGGTGGTGATGATGATGACAATGATAAATGTTGGAGGTGATAATGTTGGCGATAATGATGGTGATGATGACGGTTGGAGATAGTGGTGATGACGCTATATTGACACAGGTGGTGGTGATGGCGAAGGGCGTGTTGGAGGTGGTGTTGGTGCAGGTGGTGAGGGAGGCTCGGGAGGGGAGGGAGGGAGGAAGTGGACCCTCCCCTCCCACCCCCACCCCACCCCACCCGCATCTCATGAATGGGTGGTGCGTCGCTGTTCCCTTGGGGTTGTAGGGTGTTTGTTTGTTTTTTTGTTTGTTGTTTGTTTGTTTTTTGGCTTGTTCTTTCTTTCTTTCTTTTTTCGTCTCTTTATCCTTTTTTATTTTATTTGTTTATTTTTTATTTTTGGTCTCTTATTTCTTTTCTTTCTTTCATTTTTTTGTGCTTGTAATTTCTTCTTCTTCGTCTTCTTCTTTTCTGCCTTTCTTATTTTTTTTTTCTTTTTTTCTGCTTCTCCCTTTTCTTGCTATTATTAGCGTTATTTCTTGAATAAAAAGTATTATTACTTATTGTTCTGATCCTGTTATTGTTTTTATGTTTCTTGGTATAATATGTTACAATACTAACATAATAATTATAATAATTCCAATCCAATCCTATGATTTTTTCTTGTTCGAAATTTTATTATCCCCCCCCCTATTTTTACGGCCAAGTTCCCCTATTTGTTTATTTACTTTCTTCCGTTGCCGAGGCCTATTTTAGCTATTTTATGAGGCGGAAGAGCAGTTGCCATAAAAGAGTGTTTAAGCGAAAAAGAGATAGTTCGGTAGTTTTGATGTTTCGTTAATTGTTAATCGTAATTATGAATGAGTTTGTATTTTTGTATATAGTTTGATTTGTGATACATGTATAGGGCTTCATAACTTGAATTTTGTTGTTGTTTTTTGTATTGTTGTTATTGTTGTTGTTCTTATTCTTATTTTTGTCATTTTTATTATTATTGTTGGTGGTGTTTTGTTATGATTATTATGATTATTATTGACATTAGCAAGAGATTAAACATGATTCTTTTTCTTCTTCTTTTTTTTTTCTTCTTCTTCCTAGTTGTTTACTTCTTTTGTTTCTTCCCGCCGCCCACTCTTCTAATTTTACTCGCCTCCCTCTCCTCCCCTCCCCCTCTCTCCTCCGTCTTCCGTATCTCCGTTTCTGTTCCTTTTCTTCGTTCCCCATTCTCTCTTCTTCCTTTGCCATCTTTCGCTTTTCCCTTCTTTCTGTGTCTCCTAACTTCTCCCTTTTCCTTCCTTCGCCTCTCCTCCCCCGTTCTCCTTCTTTCCCTTCTTTATCCCCTCTCTTCCCTCTCTCCTCCTCCTTCTCTCCTCCTCCTCCTTCTGTCTTTCGTCTTTCCTCTTCCTTCCTACCTCCCCCTTTCCCGCCCTCTCCCTTCTCTTTCTTTGCTTTGGGGGGAGGGGGGAGGGGGAGGGTCGTTCATCCCCCTTTCCCTGTTATAGAGATGTAAACAAACACTTTTCACCCTGAGGCTGTTCTCTCTCTCTCTCTCTCTCTCTCTCTCTCTCTCTCTCTCTCTCTCTCTCTCTCTCTCTCCTCTCTCTCTCTCTCTCTCTCTCTCTCTCTCTCTCTCTCTCTCTCTCCTCTCTCTCTCCTCTCTCTTCTCTCTCTCTCTCTCTCTCTCTCTCTCTCTCTCTCTCTCTCTCTCTCTCTCTCTCTCTCTCTCTCTCTCTCTCTCTTTATTATTTTACTATTATTATTAGCAATACTTTTCTGTTTTTTCCTCTTTATCATCATTATCTATTTTACCGTTATTGTTGTTATTACTATTATTATTACTGATTGTGTTACTCTTATTATCATCATCATTATTATTATTATTATTATTATTATTATTATTATTATTATTATTACTACTACTACTATTACCATTATTATTATTACTGTTGTTGTTACTATTATTACTATTATTATTACTATTACTATTTTTATTAATGATGTTAGCATTATTACTATTATTGTTATTACCTTTACCGTTATTATTACTGTTGTTGATATTATTACTATTATTGTTTTTACTATTACTATTTTTATTACTGTTGTTGATATTATTATTATTGTTATTACTATTACTATTTTTATTACTGTTGTTAATATTATTACTATAAGTGTTATTACTATTACCGTTATTACTGCCATTATCATGATCACCAGAGCCAAAACTAACGACCGTTTCCTCCCCCCCCAGGCTGGGCGTGAGCGGGGGTAACCCTGCGCTGGACTTGCCCCTGGTGGGAGGGCGCCTGGGTGCGGCACCCCTGGGCACCACCCCAGGGGACCTCCCGCCCCCCCACACACCCCCCCTACCGCATCCCCCCCTACATGGAGCATCTGTACCAGTCCCTCCACACCTCCCCCCAGGCCTCCCTCAGGGGACTCTCCCCCTTAGAAAGTCGTGGTAAGTAACGGCCGATGTTGACTGGGTAAACAGTCCGATTTTTTTATTTTACGTTTTTTTTTCTGTCCATATTATTCTTTTCTTCTTTCTTTCTATTGTATTCCATAGTCTTCGATTTTTTTATGATCTTTTTTCTCTCTCTCTTTGTTATTCCTTTTCTATCTTTTTTTTTTTATTATTCTCCAGCTCTCGTGTTCTTTTTTGTGTGTATGTAAGTGTTTGCTCGTGTGTCCACTATTTGCGCTGGGCTGTTTGAGGTAAATACTGGGGTTGATCAAGGTGTTAAATGGGTGTGTTTGTGTGCGTCTGAGAGTGTGTAAGTGTGTGTTGTGTTGTGTGTGTGTGTGTGTGTGTGTGTGTGTGTGTGTGTGTGTGTGTGAGTGAGAGAGAGAGAGAGAGAGAGAGAGAGAGAGAGGAGAGAGAGAGAGAGAGAGAGAGAGAGAGAGACAGTACGTTAGGGTTTTGTGTGTGTGTTAGGCTATGGACGTGTGTGTATTTGTGAGGATGTTTAGGTTTGTGCGTATGTGCCTGAAAAGTGTGCGTGCGTGTGTGTGTGTGTGTGTGCGTGTGCGTGTGTGTGTGTGTGTGTGTGTGTGTGTGTGTGTGTGTGTGTGTGTGTGTGTGTGTGTGGCGTGTGTGTGTTGTGTTTGTGTGTGTGTGCGTTTGTGTGTTTACCTTTCTGTCTGTTTGCTTCTTAGCTCTGTAAAAAAAAAAAAAAAAAAAAAATCCAAAAAGCTGAAAGTTCAAAAATTAGATAATTGCATGAAAATACTTCCTCGTCAAGCAAGCCTTCCTTTCAGCAGTTGAAATGAGAATAGTCTCCCCTCCCCTGCTCTCCATCCAGAAAAAAAAAATAAAAAAAAAAAGAGAAAAGAAAATTCATGAGTCTAATAATCAGATAAGATAAAGCCAAAAAGAAAGAAAGAAAAAAAAAGTAAATATGAGGTTAACAAGATTGAAGCTGATTACCTCCCCCCCCCTCTTATCTCCCCTCTCCCCTTCTCCCCACTCCTCCTCTCCCCCAAACTTCCCCCTCTCTCCCCCACCACCTCCTCTCCCCTCTCCCCCACCACCTCCTCTCCCCCTCCCCCACCACCTCCTCTCCCCAACAACCCTCCTAATACATCCCCCTCTCCCCCACCATCTCCTCTCCCTCACCACCCCCTCCCCTCTCCCCTCCCTCTCCCCAACCGCTATTATGCCTGTGGCTGTTATGATAATGGGGATCTGTGGAATTTATAATACATCCACAAGTTCAAGGTTTCATCAAGCGTGATGGACTAGTGTGTGTGTGAGTGAGTGAGTGAGGAGGGAGGGAAGGAGAGAGGGAGAGAAGGGGGAGTGAGTGAGTGACTGGGTGAGGGAGGGAGGGAGTGAGTATGGGTGCTGAACTAGTGTGTGTGTGAGTGGAGTGAGGGAGGGAAGGAGAGAGGGAGAGAAGGGGAGGGAGTGAGTAACTGGGTGAGGAGGGAGGGAGGGAGGAGTGAGTAGTGGGAGAGAGGGAGGAGGTGAGTGGTGAGTGTGGTTGTGGTTGAGTGAGTGTGTATGTTTGTGTGTTTACTTGTATATATATGAATATGTATTTACGTATGTTTGTATGTTTTTGCGAGTGTCTGCATGTACACACGTGTGCGCGTATGTCTCCGCTTTTCCGTGTGCGTGTGTGTGCGTGAGGACCGCCACGCCGGGCATGTAGAACACAGATCACCGAAAATCCTTCAAATTCTTACAGTCTCACCTTGTTGTGTTTAGCGGCATTACGACTCCGCGGCCGACAGTGCCACCACGCGAGACTGGCACCCTTCCGCGACCCCCGAAAATCCTGATCAGTCCTCCATCCTATTCAAATATCCTCCTTCTTTATCCACTCCTCATCACCTGTCGCTTCTTCTGCATCCGTGGATCGAGCGAAGGCAGAGAGGAAGCCGTCAAGCAGCGAGAAGGGAAATGGCGCGAGGTTTTCGGGGCGACAAGTGCGTGTTGGCAACCGTGCGCGACCCGCAGGTGATGGCAGTAAATTGTGATCCTCCTGATCCTGGGTATCGGGCAGGGGGGGCAGGGGCATAGGGAGGGGGGGCAGCACCTTCGCGTGACTGGCGGTCACCGCGAGGGCTTAGGCACAGTCAGACTGCCAGTCACCAGTCGTTTGACACACACTGTCACGGGTCCCCCCTTCCTGTGTCTCGCCGGCGCGACAGCCTACTTTGTCACGCTGCGAGGTGGCGTTACTCGGGACTTCTCTCTGGTTCGCCTCTCGCCCCTGGCTCTCTGGCTCTCCCCCGGCTGGCACGCTGAGCAGAGTCCCCCGTCCACGTAGCGGGCGCAAGGGAGGCTTAAAGGTACTTTGCTTTTATAGGCCTACGAAAATACGGTAATGTGCGGGCCAGCTGGGCGCGAGCGAGGGCCAGGAGATGGCAGCAGATGGTGCCACAGGTGCAGTCGCCGCAAGTACCGAGTCGGACGGTGCCTGAGCAGTGCCAGACGGCGAGCGGTGCCTTGGGGGAAAGGCTGACACCAGGACAGTGCCAAAGGGCCAGACAGGACGCCTTCCTCCTTGGCTCTTTCTCATTCTCTTTTATCTTTCCCCTTTATTACTCTCTTCCACGTCCCTCTTTCTACCCCCTTGGCCGTTCCCCCTTACGCCACTTTCCCCTTCCCCCTTCCCTCTCTCACCCTCACACCCCGGCCACCGCAACCCCACCTTGCGCCCCCCCCCCCATTCCCTTCCTCCCCCCCCCCCACACACACAAATCAGGAGATCAATGGAGTGCCGCCTGACCCTTCTACCCCCCCCCACCCCCTCCCCCCCACTCTCCCCCTCGAACGCCAGAGGTCAAGTGTGTGTGTGTGTGCCAGGCAGTGAGTGCTTGGGGCGGGCAGTACATGCTGTTGGGCAGGGTGGGGGGGGGGGGAGGGGGAGACTTTATTGGCGCGGGGTGGGGGTCGTTTTTCACCCCCCTCCCCCAACCCCTCTCCAAGCGGCGCGTGTTTTGCCTGACGTCTGGGGAGGGGGAGGGAGGGGAGAAGGTGGGGGTGTGGGGGGAGGGAAATGTGAGTGTGAGGTTATTGGGAAGAGAGTGGGGTTTGGGGTGGGGAGGAGGGGGTATGGGGTAGGGTGGGATAAAGGGGGTTATGGCAGAAAAAGGGGAAGTGAAAGAATGAGATAAAGACAAGAAAAGAAAGAGAGAGAGAGAGCGCTGGGTATATTTCTCTACTCCTCCCCCCTCCCTCCCTCCCTCCCTCCCCCTCTCCCCCACCCCTTCCCCAAGACAAGCAGAACTTGGGACGGAAACCGACAAGGATAAATTCGACCTGTATCACAAAATTAAAACAAAAAGACACACACAAAAATACAACCAAAAAAAAAAAAAAAAAAACATAAAAAAGTAAATAAATTAAATTCTCTCGACCATTACTTGCTCTAGAATAAATGGAATCAGCAACTAACTCTTAAGTCTGGATTAAGTAAGCCTTGCAATAAACACAAGCTAAGCATGGCGATGACTGCAACAAACGCTACTTACATATGAATGTGAATGCAACAATTTGAAGCGACTGAAAAAAGAGATAGAAAAAAAATAGAGATTGAATTCTCGACAAAGATGCTTGCGAATTGAGAGTAAATGTTCTTTCAACAAACCTCGCATTATTTTTATTTATAAGATAGAGGAATAGGAGTGAGATAGAGTAAAGTGAGTGAGAGAGAGAGAGAGAGAGAGAGAGAGAGAGAGAGAGAGAGAGAGAGAGAGAGAGATGTGGGGAGGGAAGGAGAGAGGGAGGGAGGGAGAGAGAGAAGAAATAATAAATAAAGGAAAAAGGGAAAGAGAGAGAGAGATAGGGAAAGATAGAAAGAGAGAGAGATAGAAAGAGAGAGAGATAGAAAGAGAAAGAGAGAGAAAAAAGATAAAAACTTAAACGAAACTTGCCAGACGAACCCATTCAAGGGACCGCTTAAAAGTTCAGGTGGAGAAGATACAGCTCAAGTGTGTGTTTACACTACGTGTGCCTCTGAACATTGTTTTTATTTTAGGGCTTCGCTCCGGTATACTTTTTCTTGCTTTCATTCTTTTTTTCTTTCCCTTCTTTCTTTCTTTTTTAACATCTTTTCCTTTTTTCTTTATTTCATTTTCATATTTTTTTCGTCTTGTTATTCTGGTTATGTGTTGTATTTTGGGTTTTGTTTTTATTTTCTTCCGTTTTTGTAATTCTTCTTTCTTTCTTTCTTTCTTTTTTTCTTTTTTTGTCTTGTCCTCTTAGAGAAGCAAGAGACGTTCATCATTATTAAGATTCAGCTGCCGACCTTGACCTATATGAAGACAGCCATTTTCTTTTGTCTTTCTTCACATAGCAGAAGGCGTTGGCACTATTTTGCTTCAATATTTGGTGTGTTTTATTGCTAGAGGGAGAGAGGGGGGGATGAGGGGTATAGGGAGGAAGAGAGAGAGAGAGAGAGAGAGGAAATGAGGGAGAAGGGTGAGAGGAAGAGGAGAGGGAGAGATGAAGAGAGGGAGTGAAAAGGAGAGGGAGAGTGAGGGGAGGCAGAGAGTAGGGATAGGGAGGGGGAAAGGGGAGGGAGAGAAAGAGATGAGAGTAAGGAGAAGGAGGGAAAGTTAGGGAGAGGAAGAAAAAAAGAAGGAGAGGCTGGCAGGGAAAGAGAAAAAAAACTGAGAGAGAGGAAGAGTCAGAGAGAAAGAGGGAAAAGTAGCTAGACATAGGCAATACAGACAGACAGACAGCCAGACAGACAGTCAAATTGAATGCCTACTTAACTTACATATCCCAGACGCAATCTCGAAAGAGTATAGAAGGAGAAGGAACGTGAAGAAGAAGAAGAAGAAGAAGATGAGAAGGAGATGAAACACGTGCAAAGCATCACGCGATAACACATGAGGTATCCCGTTGATTGAAAAAAAAAAGTGAGTGAGAGAGAGAGAGAGAGAGGAGAGGGTAAAAAAGAAAGAGAAGAGAAATAAAGTGAGTCAGAGAATGAAGGAGAGAGA